GATAAATAAATAGATGGTTCGGCCATCTGGATGAGATGATTCAAAAACATTAACCCGATCGGTGATTCTAGTGATAGTCTGCTGAATGGCGAAATATGACAGCCTAACGCTTATCGGCGCTGCACATGCTGATGCTGAAATACTGAGGTCAGTAAAGGACCCTGTGCCACGCCTTTAGGGGTATAGGGCATATAGGGCTAGACCTATATTTTATAGACCAATCAGCACATTGATACACATCACACAGGCCGCCTTTACTTTCCGGAAATGCACCCGGTACCCACTCAAGGCTGTGTCGACCTGGCAGCCAAGGTCATTTTTGAAAAAAAGTCCGGCTGTGCCAGGGAGCGAACCCACGACCTTCCGATCCGCAGAGGAGGGTTTAGCCGCTACGCCATGGTGACTCCTACTGAGGTAGCTGCAACAGATGTTAAACATAAGACGACTTATCGTGAGTAAAGCCAACGCTTTATATACTTATGTGCAGCATAGACAGAGTATTTGTAAATATAAAAATAAGTGATAATGTTATGGTTCTCAAGTGCAAATTTCCGACTGACTGACTGACTTTCTACCCCACCAGGACATCACACAAGCGATAAACACCCGAACAAAGTGCCATCATGTGGATGAGGATCACCGTGGAGAGGTCCCAGAAACCGCGTTCAGACAATTGGCTATATTGATGGCCTGCCTATATTGCGGCTCCTGGCAAAAGCCAGAGTGGGGCTTCAAATAACAAAAAATTACGTCCTAAAAAGAACGTAGGGATTGTGCAAATTTCCTGTAGAAAGATGGTAACATTCTGACGTTCCGACATACCACATATGTCTTCATGACGTCTAACAAGACTCAATATGAACTCGTTCCCCACCGTTGCCTGCGTATAGTGATTTGGACATAAAACTCAATGGTCAGTCGTGTTCTAAGTCTAGTGTGAAAAGAGCTTTCCCTTGTATCATGTTGAAGTCACAGTTTCCTGCCAGTTGACGGCGATAACAAATTAGAAGGGAACTGGACTGAGAAATTGAGGTCGATAAGTAGTGAGTTGTTTCCCCTGCACCAAAATAAGAACGAACGGATTGATATATTGATACTAATAAGTAGTGAGTTGTGTCCCCTTGCAACAGAACGAGAAGGAACTGACTAAGAGATTGATACCGATAAGTAGATAGTTGTTTCCCCTTGCATCAGTAAAAGAAGGAACTAAAAAGACAAAACTGAATTTTTCTCCCCAGGTACAAAATCAACAACAAGATAAGACAATGACGTCGATTAAGTAAATTGTTATTTCTCACTTGTATTAATAAAGTAAGAACTTAATTGAGTTACCACCGCCGTCCCAATGTTGGACCCAGTTTTTTGGTTAATTTAAGACCCCACCCGGCTGTAGGCAGGGGCCCTAATATAACCTAACGGTTGAACAGGGATTCTGGGACTTATGCACGAATGATCCTCATCCGAATGGTGGCACTTCGTGTCACCGTGTGTTAATCGCTCGTTGTGCGGACCTGGCGGGGTTAAAGGTCACCTAATGAATTAGGAAATGTACACGGGAGTACATTTTTGTTCTTTTTCATGGGAGGTAGGGAGGAAAGAAATTGTTTCCCTTCAGGATTGCAGTCCGTGGGATCAACAACTCAAGGATGAGAATCGAACCGAAGCAAATCCACTGAAGCCCTTTTCAACCCTAAAACATTTATGTATTAGGGAACCCTTGCTGGTGAGAATTCGGCTGTAGACCAGTGTATGCATGCGAGACGGGATCCACTGGAGAACGATTTGATTGTTTTCTGTGAGTCTGCTTAGCTGGCGGGTCAGTTCTCTTTCCATGTTGTCTTGTGGATCCCTCTGAGTCGCCTGGATAACTGACATGCAGTCACAAAGGAAAACGATTTTGCTGTTTTTAATTTTTCTTTCCTTAAGCACATTGGCTGAATCAATAATTGCTTGCTGCTTGTTCTGAAGTTTGTTGAGTCTTCCAGAGGCTCATGGCGTTTCTACTGTGGTCCCATCTTGCAGCATGATGACGAATCTAGCTCCTCTGCATTTTTCTGCTCCATCCAATGATCCCTCGGTGTATACGTGTGTCCGACGTTTGGCGATAATTTTATTTTTTGCATGTAATCTTGTAAACTTTGTTAAATTTCGAACCTTGGGCAAAGAAGTACACTTAAAAACTGTGAAGGACAAAAAAAGAAGACGCTGACGTTGGACAGGAGGACACAAGTTGACAAACAAGGGAATAACTAGAAAAATGGGGCACTGGGAACCACGGAACCTAGAAATAGAGGAAGGAAAAAAAAAAAGGAGAGGACGTGGGGTAAACTGTATGTGTAATCAAAGTGTAGAACGACTTGGCGTCAGCTAAGAGCATATTTAGCATTGAGAGATAAAGGGTAAAAAGGAGAAAAAGAAGAAGAAAAGAAGAAGATAAAGAAGAAGAAGAAGAAGAAGAAGAAGAAGAAGAAGAAGAAGAAGAAGAAGAAGAAGAAGAAGAAGAAGAAGAAGAAGAAGAAGAAGAAGAAGAAGAAGAAGAAGAAGAAGAAGAAGAAGGCGGAGAAGAAGAAGAAGAAGAAGAAGTAGAAGAAGAAGAAGAAGGAGAAGGAGAAGAAGAAGAAGAAGAAGAAAAAGAAGAAGAAGAAGAAGAAGAAGAAGAAAAAGAAGAAGAAGAAGAAGAAGAAGAAAGAGGAGGAGAAAAAGGAGAAGAAAGAAGAAGAAGAAAAGAAGGAGAATAATAATAATAATAATAATAATAATAATAATAATAATAATAATAATAATAAGAAGAAGAAGAAGAAGAAGAAGAAGAAGAAGAAGAAGAAGAAGAAGAAGAAGAAGAAGAAGAAGAAAAAAGAAGAAGAAGAAAAAGAAGAAGAAGAAGAAGAAGAAGAAGAAGAAGAAGAAGAAGAAGAAGAAGAAGAAGAAGAAGAAGAAGAAGAAGAAGAAGAAGAAGAAGAAGAAGAAGAAGAAGAAGAAGAAGAAGAAGAAGAAGAAGAAGAAGAAGAAGAAGAAGAAAAAGAAGAAGAAGAAGAAGAAGAAAAAGAATTAGAAGAAAATATAAAAAGAAGAAATCTAATGTTCTTTATGACATGTGTTCAGTTGAAAAATAAAACACACACACACACACCAAGTGTTGGTGTAAAAACGGGGAAAAAAAGGAAGGCATGAAGACGTAAGGAAAGACACAATGATTAAAAACATTAAAAAAAAAAAAATCCAACACGCAAAGATAGTTACGTGATAATGAACAGAATGCAAAACAGACACACCACAACTGAGGAAGGCAGACGCCGTGAAAAACGCATTTTCCTAAAGGCATTCACATTTGCCAGACAGACAATGAATACGCAATACTGCAGACAATGAGCGCTCGACATCATAAAAATTCAGAATGTCTGTTAGGAAATATGGAAATTATTTTAATGAATTCTGGCTCGGGTAGTCTTGCAGCACTGCATCAATCAGTCATATCTCACTCTTCCATTAAGTGGACAGAATAACCATCTCGTATGTCAGTCGCAAACTTTCCTATTTTTGTCATGCAACAAAATACGCTGCCGAATAAGGAGGCTCATGAAGTACTAGATCTCCAGTGTAATTGCAGTTTCAGACAAAAAGGCTTCATTAGCACACGAGAATTATATTACAGTATGATAGCTGCAGAGGGAGCAGAGAGAGAGAGAGAGAGAGAGAGAGGGAGAGAGAGAGAGAGAGAGAGAGAGAGAGAGAGAGAGAGAGAGAGAGAGAGAGAGTTATAACTGTAAGGAATGTGAGGCATCTGTTTACAGTGCCATCTATTCACGGCGCCACCTAGTCACAGTACCATCTGCTCACGTTGCTATCTATTCACGGTGCAATCTGTTCACGGAGCTATCTATTCACGGTGCAATCTGCTCACGTTGCTATCTATTCTCGGTGCAATCTGTTCACGGTGCTATCTATTTACGGTGCAATCTATTCACGGTGCACTCGGTTCACTTTTAGTCTGTTCACAACCAAACCAAATGACAAGCTAGGCAGCAACCTGTTCGACCATTCAACAAGTGGTGTAATCATGCAACCAGTGGTGTAATCATGCAACCAGTGGTGTAATCATGCGACCAGTGGTGTAATCATGCAACCAGTGGTGTAATCATGCGACCAGTGGTGTAACCATGCAACCAGTAGTGTAATCATGCAACCAGTGGTGTAATCATGTAACCAGTGGTGTAATCATGCAACCAGTGGTGTAATCATGCAACCAGTGGTGTAATCATGTGACCAGTGGTGTAATCATGCAACCAGTGGTGTAACCATGCAACCAGTGGTGTAATCATGCAACCAGTGGTGTAATCATGCAACTAGTGGTGTAATCATGCAACCAGTGGTGTAATCATGCAACCAGTGGTGTATCCATGCAACCAGTGGTGTAATCATGCAACCATTGGTGCAATCATGCAACTAGTGGTGTAATCATGCAGTCAGTGGTGTAACCAGTGGTGCAATCATGCAACCAGTGGTGCAACAATGCAACCAGTGGTGTAATCATGCAATCAGTGGTGCAACCATGCAACCAGTGATGCAAAAATGCAACTAGTGGTGTAATCATGCAACCAGTGGTGTAATCATGCAACCAGTGGTGCAACTATCCAACCAATGGTGCAACCATCCAACCAGTGGTGCAGCCATGCAACCAGTGGTGCAACCATCCAACCAGTGGTGCAACTATGCAACCATTGGTGCAACCATGCAACCAGTGGTGTAATCATGCAACTAGTGGTGCAACCATGCAACCAGTGATGCAACCATCCAACCCAACAGTGGTGCAACCATGCAACCAGTGGTGCAACCATCCAACCAGTGGTGCATCCATCCAACCAGTATTGCAACCATCCAAATAACATTCGTTGGACATATCTGACCCACGCGTGTCAAGCAGATGCATTGCGACTTTGACAAAAGTTCCCAATTAGTCGACTGCTTGTTGGGGAGGCAATAGGTGTATTTTTGTTTTCCCCCTATATGGAGCACGGGAGCCCACACGGGGGAGCTGTTAGTGCCCTTTGAGAGATGGGGAGAAAGGGGGATGGAGGAAAGGTTAGAATATGGGACTTGATGATGCTATCGCAAACTCCTTCCCTCCCCTCACCTTTTTCTTCTTCCCAATTCTTCACGTCATGTATAATGGGGGGAAAGGGGTGGGGGGCTGTTCGGAGGGGGGGGGGACCTCTGATCAACGAGCCTCTAGAATCAAAAACAACAAAAACAATCATCCCCAAAAGATAATGTATTACAGCAGTACTTGATCATCTTTTAAATGTAGAAGCAATTACGTCAATCAACGTAGGGGTATTTCCCCGCAAGCAATTGGCAACAACAAGAGGGTATTGAGAAGCAGGACAAGCTGGCGAACATCTATTGAAGAGCTGTCAATCAATATTGACAATCATTCAGATCGTTGTTATTTATTTCAATAGGTGTGCAATTCCATGTTACATTAAGTTTCTTTTCTTCCTGAATCTGTATTTGGTGTGTATATCTTCGTGTTTGTTTGTTCGTAATGTGCTTCCAATGACAAAAAGAGATAAATAATAATATATATCATTATCATGAACATCATCATCACTATCATCATCCTCATCGTGTGTGTCGTTAATGGTCACACAGAGGTCGGAGCCTAGTCCTCCGTTCTGTTTCCGGCGCTGCTGACAATCTTGACCACAGTCAAATCCAGCAACCAGTGGAATATCTCTGATGTTATCTTTCCATCTTGTTCTTGATCTACCGTGTACTCTACGTTCTTCTTCTCTTTTGGTGCATGTCTGGTTTGTTATGGCACCACAAGGCATTTTATCTAAGTCGGCAAACCGTTTGACCTGCTGTCTTTGTATATCATTTAGAAATGGTTCTGTGCCGACTGTTTCTCTGATGACCTCATTCTTCATTTTATCTCTTCTTGTCACTCCTGTAGCTATTCTCAGACATCTCATTTCCATGGTTACTAATCTCTTTTTGTCACTCCTGTAGCTATTCTTAGACATCTCATTTCTATGGTTACTCATTTTTTCTTCTTATGATTTGTGGTGAATGACCATACCTGGCAATGGTAGATGGTGGGAATGAATATGCTTTGTGGGATTAACTTGTACTGCAAGAGTGGAACTAGCTACCCTAATATTTGGTTCAAATCACCGCCAAAGATGTCGATTTCTGCTTCCTGTTTCCCAACTTTAGTAAATATAAATAACTGTTTAAGTGTGAAGATTGTATCCGCGTAGCTTCTATTCCTCTCAAATCCCATCTGTTCTTCTGCCAACTGTGGTTCTATCACTGGTCGCAGCCTCGTTTCTGTTATCTTGGCATACATTTTGCCAGCATGACCTAGAAGAGAGTTTAATCGGTATCGAGTGCATTCTCGATTGCTTCCCATGCTCTTCCACAATGGTATAACTATTTAATGTTGTCTTTCAACATGGGTACTTTGTTGTACCCATGCTGCATTCAATATTCTATTAAGCCATCTGATGTTGATTTCCCCAGCTGTTGGGATAATGTATGTAGGTAATCTATCAGCTCCTGGTGCTTTATATTTGGGAGACTACTGAATGAATTTGTCTGTTTGATCAGCAAGTATATCTGGTTCTAGCACTGTAGATCTGTTGTCATCACATGTTAATTCCCAAGCACTGCAATACAATACATTCAGTTTGCCTGTTTGGCTTTTATTACTGACATGGTCGAGAAACACTTTTCATACAAATAAGTAGCCGTAAATAAAATAAACATACACATGCACACACACACACAACATAATTAAGCAGACATTTTTGATTACAACCTCAACACCCAGTCTTAAAAAAAAGAGAATAATGGCTTTTGAGCTGAAATGCTAAAGAAGGATTCTCAGAATGTCTTGGGCAAAGAAGAGAAGAAATACTGACATCTTGACAGATCTGAAAATCAAGGAAGATTGGCTAATAAACAGCATCCTGTCTCAGAAGGTGAAATATTTTGGTCATATCGAGCGCCACGACGGATTGGAAAAAATAATAGCAGCCGGCATGGTACCAGGAAGGAGGGGCGGGGGCCGACCGACACGAAGATGGGCACAGAATATAAGTGACTCCTTGAGTATGAAAGTACATGAGGCGGGAGAACTGGCGAGGGAGCAAGTTTGTTTCAGGCAGACCGTGATGAGAGCGACGTTCTGGAAATGTGCAACTCTGTTCTAACCACGCCCGCATGCGGATCCGAAAGGCTTCGAGTCCTGACGGAACTGGGCTGCGAGATCGACCCAGCCTTGAGTGGGTACTAGGTGTAAGCCTGGGAAGTAAAGTCGGCTGGAATGATGTTGACCAAATAGGCAACCACATGCCGATTGGTCTATAAAATATAGGTCTAGCCCTGTATACCCAATACGTCTGAAGGCGTGAAAAACGGTTTTTTCACTTTTTATTAACTGCTGACTGACTGATTTTCTACCCCACCAGGACATCACACAAGCAATAAACACCCGATGACACAATGTGCCACCATGCTGATGAGGATCACCGTGGAGAGGTCCCAGAAACCGCGTTCAGACAATTGGCCACACCTATGGCCTGTCTATATTGCGGCCACTGGCAAAAGCCAGGGCGGGGCTTCAAATAACAAAAAATTTCGTCCTTAAAAGGACGAAACACCTAGCAAATGCTAGAGTTGTGTATATAGAATATATACTGCTGAAAACTTCTAAACTTTATGGGTTTGAAGGTGAAAGGGGACATAACCAGACATAGACCCATTGTTAAAAAAGAAATCGATTCAGATAAAATCAGCCGGTTTTTGTATATATCTTGATTCTGCGAATGTTTGCACATGTTTATGAGTGTGTCTTGATTCTGTGAATGTTTGCACATGTTTATTAGTGTGTCTTGATTCTGTGAATGTTTGCATATGTTTATGAGTGTGTCTTGATTCTGTGAATGTTTGCACATGTTTATGAGTGTGTCTTGATTCTGCGAATGTTTGCACATGTTTATGAGTGTGTCTTGATTCTGTGAATGTTTGCACATGTTTATAAATGTGTCTTAATTCTGTGAATGCTTGCAAATATTTATGAGTGTGTCTCGATTCTGTCAATGTTTGCACATGTTTATCAATGTATCTTAATTGTGTTAATGTTGTTTATCAGCGTGTCTTGATTCTGTCAATGTTTACACATGTTTATGAGTGTGTCTTGATTGTGTGAATGTTTGCACATGTTTATCAGTGTGTCTTGATTGTGTGAATGTTTACACATGTTTATCAGTGTGTCTTGATTGTGTGAATGTTTACACATGTTATCAGTGTGTCTTGATTGTGTGAATGTTTGCGCATGTTTATCAGTATGTCTGGATTTTGTGAATGTTTGCACATGTTTATGAGTATGTCTTGATTGTGTGAATGTTTACACATGCTTATCATTGTGTCTTTATTGAGTAAATATTTGCACATGTTTATCAGTGTGTCTTAATTGTGTGAATGTTGCACATGTTTATGAGTGTGTCTTGATTGTGTGAATGTAAATGAGTGTGTCATGATTCTGTGAATGTTTGCGAATGTTTATCAGTGTATCTTAATTGTGTTTATGTTGTTTATCAGCGTGTCTTATTCTTTGAATGTTTGCACATGTTTATGAGTGTGTCTTGATTGTGGGAATGTTGCACATGTTTATGACAGTGTTTTGATTGTGTGAATGTTTGCATATGTTTATGAATGTGTTTTGATTGTGTGAATGTTTATCAGTGTGCCTTGATTGTATGAATGTTTGCACATGTTTGTGAGGTTGCACTGATTGCGTGAATGTTTATCAGTGTGTCTTGATGGTGTGAACGTTTACACATGTTTATGAATGTGTCTTGATTGGGTGAATGTTTATGAGCGTGTCTTGATTGTAGGAATGTTGACACATGTTTGTGAGTATGTCCTGATTGTGTGAATGTTTACACATGTTTGTGAGTATGTCTTGATTGTGTGAATGTTTGCACATGTTTATAAGTGTGTCGTTATTATATAAATGTTTGCACATGTTTGTGAGTGTGTCTTGCTTGTGTGAATGTTTATCAGTGTGTCTAGATTGTATGAATGTTTGCACATGTTTGTGAGGGTGCACTGATTGTGTAAATTTCTGCACATGTTTATATGTGTGTCTTGATTGTGTGAATGTTTACACATGTTTATCAGTGTGTCTTGATTGTATGAATGTTTAAACATGTTTGTGGGTGTGTCTTAATTTTGTGAATGTTTGCGCATGTTTGTGAATGTTTCAAAATCAGAACGGAAAATTGCTTGTGCATTTTGTTCAAAATAAAAGGTCTTGTAGCAAAATTAATTAGCAATGATCTATGGGTAATCAAAGTTGTTGACAGAAAATGATGTTACAAGAATGAAAAGTGGTGACATCAGAATATTGGAGAAAATAAAAATTACAAGACATATCAACGCAGCAAATGAAATAGACGATAGCTCTAGGGAATAAAGCAATGTAAAAACGATGAAACTGAAGGACGAATCTTTCTGAATATCAGTGTTTTGTGTTTTCATTGGTTTCAATACAGATATTCAGTAAGGATGTCAGTATTTTTGGGAATGTTACGGAAAGGAGTGCACTCGACAACCCGGTCACAGCTGGCCAGATTCGTGGGGAAAAAAAGAACAAAGCGAAGGCAACGATGTAAATACACATATGGACGGGGCGGGACAAGAACACTGAGCTGATCCGTGTTTTCAGTGATCGTTTGAGATAGCGAGATATGACAGCTGGTTAGATTCGGGTGCAGATGAAAAGTTAGAATAATGTTTCCTGTAACTGTCTGCATACTATCTTATGCTAACGACACCGTCTTGATGGCGACAAGACAGAAAAAACTGTAGGGATTAATGAATACCGTGGTGGCGGAAAATGATGAAATTGACCTATGTGTGAATAATGGGCAGACAGATGTAATGGTAATATCAAAGAAAAAAAAAGTTGCTCAATGCAAAGTAAAATTCAAAGGATTATTTCAGGACAAGTACATACATTAAAGGATCCAGACACATGGATAACATCCGACGGAAGATAGAGGTAAAGAACAGAATAGCACAGGCATTTTATGAAATAAAGAATGTTTTCAACAATACATGTATGTCATTTAAGGTTATGAAA